TGTTCAATTTCTATTATCCTAAAGCCTGGAAAAACTTAAGCCCATTCAGGCAGCTGACTCACAGCTGCACCTCCTCCTCTGCACCTCCCTGCTCCAAAAAAAGACTCAATTGGATCATCACAAAAATCCTGTACTGGGATGTTGCCAACAGCGTGTGGCATGCGTGACTGTTTTTGTGCATTCATGCACATACACACACAAACACACACATCGACTACTGTAATCAGGATCATTCTGTAAGACACACTGGGGCCATGAGGCGTTCCAGGCAAACTGTGCTGCTACTACTGACCAGTATCTCAGTTGTAATATATCTCTATATTCTTGCCAAACCTCTGGAGACACAACTTTACTGTTACTACTACTAGTGGCATTATTTATTTAGTCTTTACTTGTCTGTACATCTGTTGGATAATACAAAAAGAGAATTTAAGGCAAATTCATGCTTCTGCATCAAAGATATGCCGTAGGTACACACGTAGCAGAGCATTCATAGTTGTGCATAGATGTTTGGGGGGTCACGCTGCAATTACACCACCAAAACGCTAGTGGTGAGAGAGTTTCTATGCTGGTGTCTTCCGGTTTCTGGTCCACTTATTTACAATTTCTCCGTTGTCTCTGTGTACCTCAGAACAATGGTGAGTGGATCATGTTGGAGTTGGAGCTGATAGATTGTTAAAAAACAGCAATGAAGAAAAGAAAGACGCCGTCCGTGTTTATTCCTTCAACTCAATTCAAAAATGGCGGCAATCTGTTGGACCAAGCGGCCAATCACAGCTCTTGTGGTCTGTGTCGCCTTGACGTGTAGTTACATTTTTGTGGAGGTGCACATCAAGATACGGCGTCAGGCTCTGGGTAGGGTACACGTAAGCTATGGTGTAGCTTCGACGCAGAAGCATTATTGGGCTTAAGACAAAACAACTTCTCTCTTAGTACCTGCATTCCAGACTTTCCTGACATTTTCTATTTATGAATCTTTTGATCCACAAAAAGATTGCTTGGATACTGACAAACAAAGCAAGATAAAGGATATCTTTGTCATGTGAATTGTTCTGTTCACTGTCAAGTTTCAGTCAAACTGGTAATCAGCGCTGTAGATTAAATCCAGAAAACATGAAAACGTAGTATATAACAAGAATTTGTAATGTAAGAGGAACATCAATGTTACCTGTCTAGTATTTTAATATCATTTTTATGTGCACATTGCTTTAAAAGTAATTGCAACGTCCAGGAGCCAAAGGAACATACTAAATCCATGTTACTGTGTGGTTGTTGCAGTTTCTGTGCAAACAGCAGAAATATCTGTGACAGACTGCATTAACATGACGGGAGGATCTTTGAAGTGGAATCGGAGGCTAATTATGAGGATGAGTGATTGAGTCAGTGATTGAATCAATGAACTCATTTGTAATACAAACTTTTATGCAGTATAGTGTATAAGATATTGATTCTGTACAACAATAAATAACTGGACATTATTTATATATTAATGATGATTGTGATTAATAATGTTGTATAATTAGATATAATAATAATGTGAGTAATAAGGATCTTTAATGTTGCGCTGGGAATTCAACAATCTTCCACACCAACAGGTTTATCTGATAATTTTGTAACAGCACTGAAGCTGCACATTTATTAGTATCCCAGAGCAGCAGACTGGGTAAATGTCATTTTGGAAGGAATGAAAATGAATATAATGTCAGACAGAATCTCAGGGGCTGTTCCTCCAAGGTGAAACAAATCCAACTCTCACATGATGAATTGTTTCTTTTAATAAGAAAGTTAAACAAACTTCCCCCTTTGCTCAAACTGTGGATTTAAACGAACCCAAGAAGTGCAGGGATTTATGGAACAGTTGTAGCAAGTTCCACATCAAAAAAACTTTTAAATGAAAAACTTTGTTGAACAGTGTCCAGATGATTGGAAAGGGAATCTATCTTTATGCATTTCTTTAAGAAGATCTTCATGTTTATTATGCTGAGATGTTGTGAAACAGTTTATTAATATTAGCTACCATGTATTATTGAGCAACTGGTCATACCAGACCCACTAGGGTTGTAGCAGTAAAGTACATCTTTACGCTCATGAATTAAAACGTCCATAACAGAGGACTTTGTGTTATTCCTCCTTTTGAAAGTTTCACATTGTCACTGAAAGTATTAACAGATTTGTGATGTGACATTCTTTAATTTATTGAGATAACAGGTAAAAGCTCAAAACGTGTTTTAGCTGTGAATCCAACTCCAAATTTTAATAATAATTTTAATAACTGCTCAATCTGTTATTCCTTTCGGTGGGTGACGAGGAAAACGATACGTGGCAGAGAAGTGCTCCGGCATCGACCTGCAAAGTGCTGACACACACTTTGGCAAGTGGGTAAATGTTCCACTTTGTTGTGATTGGATTGAATGCAGCTCATCGTTCAGTTTTATCCCTTTAGTCTGGACACAAACTCAAACCGGCTCTGAGTTTGCCAACTTGAACTTGATGCCATCTCCTCAGACAGAAATGTTTATGACGACCATGGCTCATGCCGTGTGAGGACAACAGTGCATTTGCGGTGCAGCTGAGTCATCGCACAGTTGTCGATAATAGAATTAGATAAAATTTGGCAAACCATAGTTTTCATGGGAAGTCCCCCCTCCCTTAATGTCTTAGCGTTCTTCACCTCCCTTCATTTCCACTGGTCTCCTGAGGAAAAGGTGGCTGTCACTTTTTTTATATCATCCAAATCCAATAAGTGGAGTCCCCTTCTCCTGCTCACCTACCCAAACGTCACTCATCCTCTGTCTACTGTCATATAATGTGTTGGTTTACATACCTATTTTCATATTTGAATCATTCTGTGTGGATGTTCACTGGGTATAATGACTATAATGTGAAAAAGCATTTAAATGATCTTGTGTAAGCTGCATATCTGTGGTTTGTGTTTGCATTAAACCCTTTCCAAATACTTTATGGGCCTTTTTCTCATTTCTTTTAGCATTTTAAATAGAACTGACACCCTGCCTCCATCTTTTCACTGCCTTGCTTGAACAAATCAATACACCAACAAATCAGCAAACTGCACCAGGAAACAGACTTAAATGCTGTGCAGTGTAACAACTGTTAACAACTACTTTCAATGGAAAGTCACAAAATGTCGCTAGATAATTTAAAACGTCAACTATGATAAACACAATGCCACAATACCGTATTGAATTCCTCCTTGTGTTGACATGTTTTTTTCTGTTAGAAAATAGAACAAGTATTAAACTGTGATAAGTTACTGATCGAAACACCCGATAAGGCATGGAAGCCACTTCAGAGCTAATGCTGCCGTTGCTGCTCCTGCTCTCCTAAAATCCTGTTCTTATAACACATGTGCTTTATTCATGTATGAAACTGAAAGTGAATGAGAGGTGAGTTGTGCCTGATCTTCTGTTCATGGAAAAAATATTTGACTCCCACAGGAATCTCTAGATTTTTTTGCTATATTTACTTGAAGAAAAGTTGCTGGCTGGGAATGAAAAGTCAGTGACTCAAGCAACAAAGACTAGAAGATGGACACACTGCCTGTAAACGCTTCTCTGATGATCCAGTAGAAACTGTTGCACCGATTCATTTTGAAAGCCACAGCCAATGGGAGAGCCCTGATTCACAGTCCATCAATGATGTAAATTCATTACACATTCAGTCCAGTCAGCATTTATGCTTTCCAGCTATAGACCGTATCAACTGGACCTCACTGCTGCAGCTCCATCTCCCAATCACTACTGCACAGACTCTGGCTCCAGGTGTGCAAGATGGCAGCGTTTGTATCCAGGTAAGTTAAGCATCCTTTTGAGGGCTCTGTGTCCTCCCTCATCTAACCAGCACATTGGGTGAAGGTGCTCTTCTGTAATTATGTGGTAGGTTTGGTTTGTTCAACTTCAATTTAAAAGCAACACTAGATGCTTTAAAGGTCCAGTGTGTAAGATTTAGGTGAAAGGGAACTATTGGCAGAAATTGAATGTAGAATAATCCTCATGATGTTTTCAGTAGTTTGTTTCAACTAAATTCCAGACTGGAACACCTTTTGGGTTTTTATGACAACTGAAGCTGCCACAGGTTTTGTTTCATGTTTGGAAGGAGAGGGTGAGGTGAGGGGTGTTCAGCTGCAACATACAACTTCACCACTAGATATCACAAAATTCGACACACTGTACCTTTAAAAGATAGCGGTTTAAAAATAATTTTGATGGAACACAAACTGATAATAGGTAAACTAGCATGTCTGTTAATGCCACAGTGCTCCCTGTACATCTACTACACTATGCGACCCTGGTGTACTGTGCTGGAGCTTTAAACGTCAACGGCTAGCTACAAGAGCTAGACAACTAGCAGAGTCACAGAGGAAACGGAAGAGCGCATTGTCAGAGGAAGAGGAAAAAGAAGTGAGAGAGTGAGAGAATGAACGAGTGTGAATATCGAATTGTTAGATGTCAGGGCTTGAAGCGGTGGATGACTCACACACGTGTGTGAGATAGATTGTGGGGACCTTTAGGAGCGTAGACCTAAAGGAGTGAGGACATCTTGGGAAAGTGAGGACATTATGGTTGGTCCTAACTGTCAATGGGCTGTTTGAGGGTAAGGCTCAGGTTAAGGCCAGAATTAGGTTTAGGCTGGGGTTAGATATTTACTTGTGATGGTTAAGGTTAGGGTAAGGGGCTAGGGAATGGATTATGCCTATGGGTGACATCAGGGTCATCATTAAGATATAAGTACAAGGTTGTGTGTGTGTGTGTGTGTGTGTGTGTNTGTGTGTGTGTGTGTGTGTGTGTGTGTGTGTGTGTGTGTGTGTGTGTGTGTGTGTGTGTGTGTGTGTGTGTGTGTGTGTGTGTGTGTGTGACTGACTCACACTGGATGAATGGATGGGAGGAACAGGAGGATGGGTGGGGGGGGTTACAGTATAGATGGATGGATGGATGGATGGATGGAGAGATCGATAAATGGGGGGTGTTTTCTCTTCAACTCACATTCCAGGTGCTTCTTCTTCGGGGGGGTCTGCTCGTGTGTGGTGGATTTACACACCGCTCGGGACACCTCGGATCCCGTCAGGCTGTACTGAGCCGCGGCGATACGGTCCGTCAGCGTCTGACCCGACATCTTCTCTCCAAGCAGGTCCAACAGAATCAAGCGTCCAATGTGGTGCTGCACACACACACACACACACACACACACACACACAGAGAGAGAGAGAGAGAGAGAGAGAGAGAGATGAATACTAACACACAAACACAACAGGACAAATAAACACTATAATAGACACCACTATAGAACTGAACGTCGGATTCTCACTCAGTTATGTCGGAGATCATCTGCATGTGTTCCTGGATCGATCCTGAACTGACTTTCTCCCTGAAGGCCAGTATCCTCTGAAACAATCTCAGCCTCAAGCAGCGAATAAAATAATAATCCAACTGCGGAAATCCTCTCCCAGGTCCCCTCTTTCTTTTCCTTTTGTGGCTCAGCCTCCGGATGATGCTCTCTGCCTCCTCCTCCTCCTCCCTGTCCTCCGTCCTCCAGTCTCCGGGATAATCCTCAGCACCGGTCCGCCTGTCCCTGTGTGTCAGCGGGGGGAACCTCAGGCCCTGGCTGGCATCAGCACCATCTTCATCACCAACCCTCCATCAATGTCTTCCTCCTCCTCCTCCTCAGCTGGACCCTTCCCTCTGTACCGTCACTGTTGTCACAGGATTAAGATCCACTTGTTTATTTAATTATTCATTTATTCACAGCGCTGGCAGCGCCCCGCCCACTTCCCCCCCCCACCAGCCTCCGTGTCAGGTGACGCGGCGGTGACCAACCACAGCTGCGGCCTCTGTCATCGCGAGAGCTGCGGGGAGGCGAGAGGACGTGAGGGGTTAAGGACGCTCCTCTGCAGCCAAGCTTGATGCTCGTCATCCCGCTGCCATGATGTGAAGGTCATGTGAAGACTGCTGCTGCTGCACGTGACCCTTTTCTCCTCAGCAAGAGGCAGACATGTGGATTCATGGGTGACGCAAGCAGCCAATCAGGAGCAGTCCGTCTCTGTCCATGGTGCTGATGTGATCTTTGATTGGACTGTTGATTCAGATCAGTCATTGGTCTGTCGTTCATTGAAAGCTGATTGTGTGCTAATGATATAGTGATAATGTAACAGTAATAGATTAGCATGGTCTCTAAAGGCATGTAGAAATACAGTATTTTCATAGGGGAAGTACATATTGCTAACAATACTTAAAAATCTATGACATGTAGTTGAGTATTTGTAAACTTAACATCTGAATACTTATGGATCAGTTCAGACCAGAACCCTTTAGTCTTCAATGGTACCTTGTCTTCATCAAGTGCTTCAGCCTTTTAGCATTAAAAGCCGAACCTGAGGGTACACTGAGGTTGAAGGTAAATCTAACTGGCTTGTATGGCAGTGCTATGAAAGCCATGTGGCCCGCTCAGTATAACAGACGTCATTCTCTCTGTGCCTTTTTAAATGAAACTAAATACCTACTCTCATAGGCAGCAGAGTCAGAAGGTGTCATATTTGAGAAATGGCAAACTGTGGTTGCAATATAGGGTAGTTGTTGCTGTTTTACTGTAACACCCAGCACCTTCTCACCTTTCTTGGTGGTCTTAGAGATGTGTTGTCTGCAAATGAATGAACAGCAGGAACATGAGATGAATGAGCAGCCTATTTATGTTTTAATTTGGGACAATGTTAGCTTTCACCACGCTGTCCAAGTAAGAGAATGGTTCAATATGAATCAGAATATCATTACAGTAACCTATACTTGCCACCATACTCTCCCTTCCTCAATGCAATAGAGGAGTTTTTCTCCACTTGGATATGGAAGGTGTATGAGCGACAGCCCTACACCAGGCTCACAGTAATCTTCTTGAGTCCATGGAACTAGCCTGTGATGACATTGGTGAGATGTGTCAGGGCTGGGTACAGCACACTAGGGTTTTTTCCCCCGTTGCCTGGCAAGGACAAATATAGTGTGTGATGTGCATGAAGTGCTGTGGTCTGACCCAGCCCAAAGACAGGATGACGCTCAATGAAGCTCAATGATCAACTGTGTAAAGTTCTTTATTGTGACCAATGAACATTTCTCCATGAGCAACATGCCTTAACCAATGTGTTTTCAATTTTTTGGTGTAGTGTCTAATGACAGCTAAGCAGTTTTTCATCGATTTGCGCGAGATCTGAAAACATTGTTCGGTTTTGAGCACATGTAAAACAATTTTGAGGCGATGGTATGGCTTTGCAAAAAGAATCAGAGGTTTTGTGAATGTAGTTTTGAGAAAATAGTTTTGTGTTTAGAATTCTGAGAAATGGACAGGAGGATTCAAAAAATGTGTTTTAACAATTGTGAAAAACTGTAAAAGGGATTTAAAGGTTCAATGCGTAGAATTTAGTGATATCTAGTGGTGAAGTTGCATGTTGCAGCTGAATACTCCTCACCTCACCCTCCACTTCCAAACACGAAAAAGAACCTGAGGAAGCCTTCACTTGTAATAAAAACTCTACAGGTGTTTAGTTTGTCCAGTCTGGACTAATGTAAAAAACATGGTTTCCTCCATAGAGAGGACCTGCTCCTGAAGTGAATGTAAAGTATTTTAATATAAAGGGTCCATTGTAGGGTAATGAAAACAACAATTTGTAAAATTTAGATGAAACACACTAGTGAAAACATCAATAGGATTATTTTACATTCATCTGCTACTATGCTCATCTGCTGATAGATCCCTTTCACCTCAATCTTATAGACTGGACCTTTAATGAGTTAAAAATGTTTTCCAAGTTGCAAAACTATTGTACATTTTTTAAATATAAAAAAAAAGACAACAGGGATCATCACCAACTTTCCACTTTGGGGTGATCTACTTATTTAAAATGTAGTATCTTCTTTATTTTGTAGGATTTTTACAAGGGGCAGCAAGGTGGTGCAGTTGTTACAGCACGATTGTTGCCGGTTCAGTTCTCAGTTCTTAAATCTTTCAGTGTAAAATTTGCATGATCTCCTTTTTGTGTTGTTTTCTCCAGGTACCCACAAAGACCCAAAGACATTGGGTTAGGTTAATTGGAGACTCAAAATTGAATGGTCCCTGGGCAAGACACTGCAGCCTGATGAATGATGTGTGGTAGAGAAAGTCCTGTGTATAGAAGTTGTAGTGTAATGTGCTTTGAGTTACTGTTGAAACTACATAGCTGCCATGTGAAGTCATTTCCTTTAATATTCACCTTAACCTGAAGTTTGTGGTAATTAGCTTGCACATCTGCTCATTTGTACACAGAGACAGACAGACAGAGACAGACAGAGACAGACTCACTCATACCCTCACTCATTCACTCACTCATTCACTCACTCATGTCTTTCTATAGTTGTGAGGACAATAGCCAATCCGAACCATCACAACCAAAAACCTAATTTGGCCTAAAACCAAGTCTTAACCCTCAAACAGTCCTTTGACTTCGTGAGGACCAGCAAAAATGTCCTCACACTGATGGTATTGAAACAAAATTGTCCTCATAACTTCAGACATGCGTACACAGAGTTTTGCAGTAATTTTGTGTAGTTTCCTGAATCTCAATCGTACTGGAGAATCCAGTTACAGTGCAAATGCATTTCAAACATTATGGGGAGAACGACACAGCCCACATAACCCTCCTATTATAAATCTTTATTTATTAAGTCACATCGATATGGAATGGCACAGCATCTTCACTTTGCCCCAAAAGACTTGAATGTAATGTTAAAAGTCAGTCATCAAAGCTGCTCCATATATACAAATACTTAAAATTAAATACAATAGCTTTTGAAAAGTAAAATAATCATTATAAATAGAAAAGAAATGTACAAACTATGTTTTCTCCACTTGTATTCCCTTGTTCTGTAATGTACATGTTGAGGTTTTTCACGAGTGTTGATCAGTTATGTGTTAATCCCCATGTTACTCTCTCCTCAGCCGTGCCCTCACGTCTTGATGAGTCCCTCGAGAAAGTCTTTTTCCACCATCTCCTCGATGTTCTGTCGCGCTCGACTCCAGAACACTTTCTGGCTCTCCAGCTTGTGGCCCTCCTTGTGGCCCTGGAAGGAAGAGTTCGCGGGGTTGTGGGTGAAGGCGGAACCTGAGCGGCTGCTGGCCTTGCTGTTGAACACGTGGCTGAGTAGGTTGAAGAACGGCAGCAGCTGCTCCATGCTGCGGATCACGTACAGGGTCAGCATCAGGTGACCTGGCTCCCAGGACAGGGTTCGCGTGGAGCAGTCCTCCTCTGGGTTTTTCTGAGGAAAGAATGAATCAGATAAGAAATGACCGAGGAAGAAAAATGCATGTGCCGCTCTGCAGGTGGAAAGAGCTGCAGTTATGAATCTAGTAGGGCTGTGTTTGTTATAGAGGTTTTCTGGAAGCTGGTGAAAGGAGAACTCAGGCAGCATGCAGAAGATTTTAATGTAGACATGATGCATCATGGAGACCAGAAGGTGGAACAATATACAATTGTCACCCCCCCCCCCCCAAGTCTGAAGATGTCTCCCACAGCATCCTCATATATCTTACTCTATTTATGTCTTTCTTTATTCTCATATAATTTCATTGGTATTCTCGTAATGTTAGAAGTTTCCTCTCAATGAAAACTTTAGCCTAATTTTATCATTACTTAAATTTCATAATAGTACGACTTTATTCTTTAAATCTCTGAATTTATTTTCTTCAACAAGACTCTAATACTCTGCTGTATGATAGAACTTTTCCCCGAACTCTCTTTTGAGGAGGCAGTCATTTGTTTCCATCACGTTAACAACCTTGTGTAGACAGAGGGAGAATGAGATACCTTGGCCCGTTTCCTCAGCAGCTTGGCCAGTCGGACCACGTAGGGTTTAAATTCCCTCTGATGAGTCCCCTGACGTCTCCCTTCCAATCCTGAATCGTCTGAAGCCTCCGGGATGAAGGCCCAGCGGTACCTGTGATGAGACAGATCTCACTCAGATATAACCTTGATTCGATCTATTCAAAGAACCACCAAAGCATTAAAGGAGTAACATATTCACATGCCGATTCAAATAACCTCCAAATATTGTATTGCATTCATCCATCTGAAATAATGACACAAACACATACACAATCTCCACTTTTGACAAATCACGTCTGTTTCTGATTTTCTGCCCTGGCCCTATCACATGCAAAGCCTTATACGACCCATGCTTGTTTGTTGGTACTGACATCTGGAACTGAGGCAGACTCTCAGGAGGAAGAGCCAAGGCCAGGTCCAGGAGCTTGCAGGCAGACAGATAGAGGTTGAGCCAGCGCTGGCTGTTGTAGGAGGTGGAGAAGCCGTTTCCACCAGAGTACGTGGTCTCCAACCCAGCCACTGACGGACCTGACGTCCTAGAAATGGACAGAAGATGATAAATCATTAGAGGAGCCCAGGTAGCAGTGATTTGGATCATTATTTGCAGCTAAGTTTGCAGTGTCAGCAGATACCTTGATATGTCTTCATCCGCTGTCAGCTCCTGCTCCATCAGTAGAAACACCTGAACCTACAGAAAAAACAGTTTTGTGTGTGAGTAGGTCAATAACTGTAGGAGACAGCAAGAACGAAAAACATGATGGTACAGTGTGTGACATGTAGCGCTCACCAGTTCAGTGATCATTGTGGGCCACAGGGAGGTGAGGTGTTGAGGTGATATGCGCAGCAGCAGCACCCTGAAGAACAGGA